AAAATTGGAAAAAAACAATAAAAATTCGTATTTTTGATGCATATTTTTTAAAAAATACCTTGCAGCAATACAAACTATTTCCTGGGCAAATAATGTTGGGGGAAATGTATCTGTTTCACATGAAACAGACACAAAACTATTTGTATGATGAAATTATGTGAAAACAAAAAATGTTAAAATCAAAAGCAAATGGAGATAAGTCTTGGAGTTTCCCTGAGCAAACAAAACAAGTTTAGTCAATAATTTAGTTTAATTACCAATCACTATGAAGACACTCCTTTATCACTGTGTAAATTGCTATGTAAAATATATCCCTGACCTGGCTGGCGTAGCTCAGTGGATTGAGCGCAGGCTGCGAACCAAAGCATCGCAGGTTCGATTCCCAGTCAGGGCACATGCCTGGGTTGCAGGCCATGGCCCCCAGCAACCACACATTGATGTTTCTCTCTCTTTCTCCCTCCCTTCCCTCTCTAAAAATAAATAAAATCTTAAAGAATAATAAAATAAAATATATCCCTGAGTCTCACTCCATGTTTTAGTGTGAGTGCTCCCAGTTTGCAAACTGCCTTTTCAGTGTGTACACAATAAACTTTTACTAATTACTACTTCTATGACTCATTGGTTTCACGTTGGCTGAACCTTTGGCAATTAAAAAACAAGAAAACCATAGTTAATATTTTTATGTATCTGTGTATGGTAGAATTATACATAATCTTATTTCTTCCTTAAAGTTTTTTTCTTTTACTGTTTATTATGGTTATCTTAATTTTTTTCCCTTTTGCCCTCCTCCACCTAGCCCACCCCTGTAGCCCACAGTCTGTACATGTCCATGGGTCATTCATACATGTTCCTTGACTAGTCCCTTCCCCTTCTTCCCATCATTTCCCCCCCATTCTCCTCCCCTCCTACAGCTATCAGTCTATTCCATGTTTCCATGTCTCTGGTTCTGTTTTTCTTGTTAGTTTATTTTATTCATTATATTCTAGTTATAGATGAAATCATATGGCATTTGTCTTTTGCCAACTGGCTTATTTCACTTAGCATAGTAGTCTCCAGCTCCATCCATGCTGTCACAAAAGGTAGGACTTTCTTCTTTCTTTCTGCTGCATAGTATTGCATTGTGTAAATGTACCAGTTTTTTAACCCACTCATCTACTGATGGGCACATGGGCTGTTTCCAACACTTAGTTAAAAATATGGAACGCTTCATGAATGTGCGTGTCACCCTTGTGCAGGGACCATGCTAATCTTTTCTGTATTGTTCCAGTTTAGTATATGTGCTGCTGAAGTGAGCACTCTTCTTTAAAATTTTGTGTTATTTCTCAGATGCTCATGTTCCTTAAAGAAAATGTTTTAATATCAGAAAAAAATTATTACCCAACCACTGACAAGAAAGGATGATTATCTAATGGTGCTAAATATTGCTATAATGGCAATCATATACATGTCAACAGTATGTGTATCGAATCAACATATTGTACACCTTAAATTTACACAATATTATATGACAAATATATTTAATTTAAAAATTATTAGCTCTGGCCGAATAACAGTTGGTTAGATTATTGTCCCAATATGCCAAGTTTGTGGGTTCAATCCCTGCCCAGTCAGGGCACATAACAAGAATCAACCAATGAATGCATAAATAAGTAGAACAAATCAATGCTTCTCTCTCTCTCTAAAATGAATAAAAAAATTATTAGAATAAAGGTAAAGATGGAAAACAGAGAAATGCTTTTGACTTCTGTGGTCTTTTTCATCAACTGCTTGACTCTCCTACTAAACACCAAGCTGATTTGTGAGGAATACTTAGGCTGCTGCTCTGATGCATAAGGTACAGGAAGCATCAAAGTGCCCAACCAGGATAGGTGGCACCCCTACATAGTGGGTTACTGATGTTCCTTTCCTGCTATTGGTCTGGCTCTCACAAAGGCCCCACCCTGGCAGGTAAACCTAAAACAGGCCCTCCACAGGATGCTGAACTTCTCTCTTTAGTCACCCAGTGAATGGGAGCCACCTTCCTCAGTTTTCCTCCTGCCTCCAACTTCTTCCCCTGGGCTTAGGCTGGGCTGGGCACCTAACTCTGAAGGCCTTTGCTTTTTTGTGTGGATATGCCTATGTGTATATGTGTAAAGTGTAAAATACTTGCCCAACAAGTTCAAACAGGTTATAAATAGAGGAAGTAAAAGCTGAAAGTCTCACCCCATACCCTAATCCTACTCCTGTGCTGGCCTTTGTCTTTCTAGATCTAGATTTTTAAATAGCAATATACAATTTTACATTTAAATGGGTTTGCATTGAATTTATTTGCACTACCTTTCTGCCTCAACAATGTATAACAACCCTACCCTTATTTACTGTGCCTGATAACGTCTCATAACTGGCTCCCCCCAGTCTCCCAATCTTTTTTATTTAGCTGAAGAACGGATTTAAGGTGATGGCTTGGACCATTTCTGGGAGTTACTCAGTGTTCCTAGGTCTCTCCCATATATCCAGGAGGCATACATGTTATTAAACTTCTGTTTTTTTCTGTTAATCTTTTATTACATTGGGGGAGTCTCAGCCAAGAATCTAGAAGGGTAAAAGGGAAAATTACTTTTGGACCCCCACAAAACCCAACATGCCTGAAGCTTACCGACCAGCCCCTTCAGTTTGTACACAGCCAGCCACTTTCCTTCAAGTGCATGAGGGGGCAGGATCAGGTAGGATTCTAACCAGACACACACTGACCAGGAAAACCCCACCTCATGATAATCTGAGCCTAATGTGTTATTTACCAGAGCAGCAAACCAAATTGTATACACCCAGTTTCCTCATCTCTACAGGCAGAGAGCAAGTCTGTACACAACTGGTGTGAATGTTTTTATATTGCTGTCAAGGGGTAGCAGAATGGAAAGGGTTAATAACAAAAACCAAATGGAAAGAGGATGAAACCAGGAAGTCAACTTAATGCTGCCTGTCACTACCAGAGCCAGTAAGTAGAAACAAGGATTGGATCTTACGGGCATTTTATTCAGATGGCCAGGGATATGAGAAGACAGTGGGTTATGTATCCTGAAAGGCCATCTTACATCTCATCTCAAGCCAACCTTTTTTTATAAGAGGGTAGGTAAGGGGTTTGGAATTCAGGGGAAAAGGTTAATCAGATAAAAGCTGCAGCCCTTCCATTTCCCTTGCATTCTTTCCTCTGCTGACTGGTGATTATCTGTGTGTCCCTCCTCCATGATGTTCCCTCCCTGGAGCACAAAGGCTCAGATTCCATCTTCATTGCTTGTAGTCCTCCTGGGGCAGGAAGGTAGAATTGCTTGTGGGTCTCCTGGAGTTAGGATAGGGCCAGTCATACATTCCCATTTCTGGAATAATAGCTTCCTACATGCATTAATTGCCAAGCTTATTAACTATATAACTAAAGCTAAAAAACTGGCAACTCTTGAGTTCCCCCATGGAAGAGAAACTGGCAAAGTAGATGGATGGATGAAAGGACAGTGTTCAGAATTCAGCAAGAGCCCCCTTCCAGTGATAATGCAAGGGCAGAAGATATCAGTTTAAGAGATGTTCAAACCTGCAGAGAAATTTTAAGATTTATTTCTTAGAGAGAGGAGAAGGGAGAAAGAAAGGGGAAACATCCATCAATGTGTGAGAGGAAAATGATGGGCCACCTCTCACGCACCCCCAAGTGGGCACCTGGGCCCCAACTCAGGCATGGCAACGTTTTGATTCGCAGTCTGGTCCTCAACCCACTGAACCACACTAGCCAGGGCAGAATTTTTATGAGTTTAAATTGATAACAAGAAGTGAAATCTCAAGAGACTGAAAAAATTCTCCAGAGATGGCAGTTTTGAAGCTTATTTTATACACATACTAAAATGAGGAGACATAAGGAGGGTTATATGAAACCCATTGGTGGTAGATTAAGAGTCGAGAGAAAGCAAAGTGAGGAAAAAGAGAAAAACGTACTTCTTTTACACTGGTGGTACAGGATACTTAATAATGAACATTTACAGCACACAGAGATGGTATGGGGTACCGTGGTCTGGAGTTCTGGTGCCAAGATTGTGCCTTGAGGGGTCTGGAAAAGATCACTCTCAGATTTCAAAGGTAGATTACGTTAGATGCAAAAAGACAATAGGTTCACTTAATGTAGAGAGTGACCTTTGTTAAGGAAGCTAAAGGTCTAGGACATGACTACCCACCATGACTCACATTTAGTTAGGAAGTTTTATGTTCAGATCATCCTGTGGGATTACTTTCAGTCCGTGAGTTTGTAAGGTTGCCATGTAGGACTCCCCTGAGCTTGTCAGGTATAGTGTGTGGCCCTTTTTAGGCCACAGTAGAAATAAGTGAGGGCAGGGAGTGTGGGGTGGGAGAACATGGAGTAGATATAAACAGCTAGTGTCACAGGATGAGAGCCTGGAGCATCTGGAGCAGGTGGAGTGGCTTGACCTATCAGCATCCAGGGACTGCAACCGAGTTCACGGAGGTGCAGGAGCAGCAGGTGTAAATAGATGCTGACCACTGCTCATGGCTCTTCAGCTGCTCTCCCTCCTAAATGCCCACCAGGCTGCATGTGCAGGGAATGCCTGCCCTCTGGGCTAAAGAGGAACCTCATTCCAAGCTACTACTGTGGAGAAAGGCCACTGACCCTGGAAGGATAGACGAGCCCACAGCCAGGACATTTTAAATCTTGCTTCAGTCCCAGCATGGTGCCAAAAAGTGAGACACTTAAAAACAAGAGTGCAGCTGGTGTAGCTCAGTGGATTGAGCGTGGGCTGCGAACCAAAGGGTCGCTGGTTTGATTCCCAGTCAGGGTGCATGCCTGGTTTGTGAGGCAGGTCCCCAGTACAGGGTGTGCAAGAGGCAACCACACACTGATGTTTCTCCCCCTCTTTTTCTCCTTCTCTTCCCCTCTCTCTGAAAATGAATAAATAAAATCTTAAAAAAACAAACAAACAAAAAATAAGAATGAATAACTTGCAGTCAAAATGAAGTAAAAACACAAATTTGAACATTAAAATTTGTTTTCATTTATATAAATAAAGGGGAATATTCTACTTCAATAATAATTCATCTGGGTCTTCTTGTACAACACAAAATTCTTCCATAGGAGTCTGCTGATTTTGAGGCCAGCAACTCTTCTCACATGTGTAAATTAGAACTGTTCCAAATTCCACAGAAAGACCTGAAAAATATAACACATTCAGGATTCCAGCAAAGAGAAAGTGTTATGAGAAACATTCAATATCTGAGTTTGCTTAGTGGACAGAGGCCAGACACTGGAGCAAACCTACTTAGGGTGGTACTCCAGCTCTACTACCTGGAGCAAGAGACTTCACCTCCCTGTAATGATGATTCTATTCATCACGATGGCAAGAATGTTGTGAGGGGGATTACACAAACTAATTCATGTAAAATACTTATTACAGAGCCTGGCACATCTTATGTGTTCACCGTCTAACAAAGAGGTTAAGCAATTAGATGATAATAGAAGGAAAGAAGAAAAATGGCTCAATATCAGGATAACCAGTGTTGATACAAGGAGTCATTTTACCTTACAAGCTGAAAAAATCATTGTGTAAAGCAAAATTAGTGTTTACTAATTTTCAGTCACAATATAGTTACTCTTTCCTACAGTAAATGACCACTGATGATGAAAAGCAGATTTAACAGGAAAATATACTTTAAAAAGTTATTTTTTAATATCTTTACTATATCCTCATACTTTTAAAAAAGATTTTATTTACTTATTTTTAGAGAGAAGGAAGGGAAGGAGAGAGGGAGAGAAACATCAATGTGTAGTTGCCTCTCATGTGCCACCCCGCCGCACTGGGGACCTGGCCTGCAACCCAGGTACATGCCATAGACTGGGAAATGAACCCTTTGGTTCATAGGCCTGTGCTCAATCCACTGAGCTATGCCAGTCAAACCAGGAAAATATACTTTAAAAATAAAAACAAATCTAATCAAGTCTTCATTACAGCTGTCTAAACAATCTGACAGTGAAAAATCATTTAAAAATATATCATTCCAACAGAACATGCTACCTCCAAGAAAGGGTTCAGGCAAAATATAGAAAATAAATCCTAAGAGTTTATAGAAATGTATCAATGAATGGAGCCACGAAGAATGGTACCAAGGAAACATGAGCAACAACTCCTGCTAATATCAGAACAGGAAGACAGGACAACAAGATGAGATGCGTAAGTGGTTTGAAGCAGTCGAGGAAAAATGTTTAAAAAAATGTAAGCAGGGATAATGGAAAGAAAATGATCAACAACAGAAGAAAGAAGGCCAAAACAGAGCTGACTAGAGAGAAATAACCTGGTGCCTTTGACATAATTTCTAACAAGAATATGCAACACGCAAAGGGTAGGAAAGGGCTGGAGACTCGGAACTAGTAACCGCCAAGATACAGGAAAAGGCAGTGCAAGAAATAAAATACCAAGTATCTGAGTAGTGCACATGAAGCCTGAGCTCAGAGACCTGTCACACTGGGGGTGAAGGAGGGCTCGGAGACAAGGAAATGTATGAAGGTAAAGACAGGCCCATTATACACCTAATAAAAAATATCAGAAACCACAGCTACAGACACAACAAAAATAATTTCAGAAATGAAAAGGAAGAAAAACTAAATATGTTGGTTCAAAAACCAATCTTGTCCCATGGTAAAAGGTTTATAAAAAAATGGGACAGCAAGAAGTAACTGGTTTAGTGACTGAACTTCATGAATAATGAAAATTCTACAAGTAACCCATCATGAGTGTTAGTTACAAGGGGGGAACACAGGCTTCCCTCAGACTTCTACAGGGCAACACTCAATGCCAAAAGATATCTATGTAAAAGCGAAAGATCTCAGGGATTTTCATAAAAATGTATTTCTCGGTGAGACCCAGCCATGGGAGCTGACAAAAGGTAAGAGGTAAAAGGGCAGGTGGGCCCTTGGCTCACTATACAGTGACAGCACCGGCCTACAATGCTCTACAGAAACTGGGGCTTAAGTATTTTCTACATGCGTTGTCCTTCAAATACAAAGACAGACTAGCACACACATTCTTTTTTTTTTTTTAATTATGGTTTTGAAAAAGAGAGAGAGAGAGAGAGAGAGAGAAACATTGATTTGTTGTTCCACTTATTCATGCATTCATTAGGTGATTTCCACATGTGCCCTGACCGGGGATTGAATCCTCAACTTCTGTATATCAGGAGGATACTCTAACCAACTGAACTACTTACTGGGCCAGGGCCAAACACAAGGCCATGACACCTATGAGCCCTCCTAGAGGCTATTACTTGATAGAATCTAGCTTCCAGAGAAGAATCAAAGTAAAGGATTTAAGTATAGTAAAGCTAAAATGTAGATTGGTGTAAACGTGAAAATCACTTAAACATAAAACTAAGGCTAAGTAGCTGGAGATTTATTTTTTACTTGATAAAATAAAAAATGATACTAAAATATTTGGAGATGGACTAGGGTATAAATTTTTATTTTATCCTCATGGACTCTGAGACTCCTGAAACTGATTACTTTTCCCTTGTAGACACCATGACAAGAAGTTTACAACAAGCACTGTCTGATCTGGCTCAGAGGGTTGAGTGCCAGCCTAAGAACCCAAAGGTCACTAGTTCGATTCCCAGTCGGGGCACATGCATGGGTTGCAGGCCAGGTCCCAGGTTGGGGGCCTGTGAGAATCAATCAATGTTCCTGTTCTTCTATTATTCCCTTCCCTCCTTTCCTCCCTCCCTTAAAAATAAACCTTTAAAACAAAAGTTTACAACCAGCTTTTATGACCCATTTTCAAAAAATATTTCATGTATTTACGACTTCCTGACATTATATGATTCTTCTGATTTCTTCTACTCTTACTTTCTTTGACTTTTTCTCATTTACTTGAAACAGCATTTAAAATTCCTGAAATTTTTTTTAAAGATTTTATTTATTTACTTTAGGGAGGGAAGGGAGGGGAGATAGAGAGAGAGAGAGAGAGAGAGAGAGAGAGAGAAACATCAATGTGCGGTTGCTGGGGGTTATGGCCTGCAACCCAGGAATGTACCCTAGCTGGGAATCGAACCTGGGACACTTTGGTCCCAGCCCGCACTCAATCCACTGAGCTACGCCAGCCAGGGCAAAAATTCCTGAATTTTAAGCATCTTTACAACCTAAGAAATTTTTAGAACATAGTATTTATTAATTCTGTGAAGATCTAGTAAGTGAACAGTAGCTATTTTTCTTTTTTGAATATATTTTACTCATTATGCTATTACAGTTGTCCCATTTCCCCCCTTCACTCCCCTCCACCCAGTACACCCCCTCCCAGCCACATTTCCGTCCTTTAGTTCATGTCCACGGGTCATATATATAAGTTCTTTGGCTTCTACCTTTTCCATACTATTCTTACCCTCCCCCTGTCTGTTTTCTACCTACCATCTGTGCTGCTTATTCTCTGTACCTTTTCCCCCTCTCTCCCCCTCCCACTACCCTGTTGATAACCCTCCATGCGATCTCCATTTCTGTGGTTCTGTTCCTGTTCTAGTTCTTTGCTTAGTTTGCTTTTGTTTTTGTTTTAGGTGTGGGTGTTAATAACTCTGAGTTTGCTGTCATTCTGCTGTTCCTATTTTTTATTTTCTTTTTCTTAGATAAGTCCCTTTAACATTTCATATAATAAGGGCTTGGTGATGATGAACTCCTTGAACTTGACCTTATCTGAGAAGCACTTTATCTGCCCTTCCATTCTAAATGAAAGCTTTGCTAGATAGAGCAATCTGGGATGTAGGTCCTTCCCTTTCATGACTTAGAATACTTCTTCCTAGCCCCTTCTTGCCTGCAAGGTCTCTTTTGAGAAATCAGCTGACAGTCTTATAGGAAGTCCTTTGTAAGGAACTGTCTCCTTTTCTCCTGCTGCTTCTAGTATTCTCTCCTTATCTTTAGTCTTGGCTAATGCAATTATAATGTGCCTTGGTATGTTCCTCCTTGGGTCCAACTTCTCTGGGACTCTCTGAGCTTCCTGGACTTCCTGGAAGTCTATTTCCTTGGCCAGATTGGGGAAGTTCTCCTTTATTATTTGTGCAAATAAGTTTTCCACTTGTTGCTCCTCTTCCCCTTCTGGTACCCCTATAATTCAGATGTTGGAATGTTTAAAGATGTCCTGGAGGTTCCCTAAGCCTCTCCTTTTTTTGAATTCTATTTCTTCCTTCTTTTCTGATGGTATATTTTTTTCTTCCTTCTGGTCCACATCGTTGATTTCAGTCCCAGTTTCCTTCCCTTCACTATTAGTTCCCTCTACATTTTCCTTTATTTCACTTAGTGTAGCCTTCATTTTTTTCATCTAATTTGCAACCAAATTCAACCAATTCTGTGAGCATCCTGATTACCAGTGTTTTGAACTGCGCATCTGATAGGCTGGCTACCTCTTCATCGCTTAGTTGTATTTTTTCTGGAACTTTGATCTGTTCTTTCAATTGGGCCATTTTTTTTGTCTTGACGCACCTGTTCATAGTGAGGGGCGGAGCCTTAGGTATTCATCAGGGCGGGGCAACCCACGTGGCTGGGTTGTGATGCTGTATGTGGGGGAGGGTTCTGAGAGGGAACAGTGCCACTTGCTCCACTCTCTGACAGTTTTCAGTCACTTCCCCTTCTACCCACAAGCAAATTGGGCCCTTCTTCTGGTGCTGATTCCTGGGTGGGTGGGTTTGTGTATGTTCTAGGACCCTGTGGGTCTCTCCAACGAACTCTCCTGTGAGGCTGGGAGTTTCTCCCGCTGCTGCCTCAACCCCCACAGGTGTTTTCAATCAGTGGTTTGAGGCTTTATTTCCCCTCGCTGGAGCTGTTAGTTGTGTGGTCTTTCTTGCTTCCCGATTGTTCCTCCTGGTTTAACTACGTGTGAACGTGGGACTGCCTGCTCCACCAGCCGCCACTGTTCCCTTGCTGACCAGCTGCAGCCTTGTACACCCCGCTCCACAATCAGGCGCTGGTCCGCCAGCTGCCACCTTGCTTGCCCCGGTCCTCCAGAAAAATAGCTTTAAAAAACTTATTCTTGCCCTATCAGTGTGACCCAGTTGGTTGGGCATGCAGCCCACAAATTCAAAGGTTGCTATTTTGGTTTGTTCTCAGGGCACATTCCTGAGTAGTATAGGTTTGTTCCTAGTCGGGATGCATAAGAGAGGCAACCCATCAGTTTCTCTTTC